TTCACGTATGCATATAATGTGTTAAATCTGGTGTATCGTAGACTATGAACTATACCTTGATAAAGCAAGATCAAACTTATAGAGTAATTGGTGAAGTTTAGAACTTCTAAGAATCAAGATTTTTTTTGCAAGCTTAGGATCTTATGTCACACGCCCCGAGATTACCTCTAGAGCCATAAGTCATGACCCCGAGCTAATTAACCAAATGACGTGACATGATGCTATGATTAACATAAATCAATATAAAATTGAAACATAAACACAGAAGCTAAATCTGAAACATCTATATAAAGCCCATAACACTGAGATAAACTAATATTTGAAATAAATAACATAAAATACGGTATTAAATAGTCTAGGGAGGTAATAGGTTCTCATGAAAGTTTAGTATCGCAACAACAAATTCAACCAAAGTTGAGGTATTTTTCAGACCCTTATCCCTTTATCATATCACATAATTATACTCGCAAAATCATTGTTGTTATCGCAATTTTTGTACTAACATGTCATGTGCGTCTTCTAAGATTCATGAGTGCTTTAAAATCTATAGGTCCAATCATCAAATGTATTCTGAGAGCAATACGCGACCTATAAAAGACATGAATTGGATTAAACGTTAACTTAGCCTCACTAATTTGCGGTATAACACTATATTCACACATCAAAGGAGGCCCCGTAGTTTAATAATGTATATTTATTAATGACTTGTTATTGCATATATAAACCTAGTTCATTTGATCTCCAATCACATAGGTTGAATTACGTACTATCATTGTTAATCTTCTCAAATTGATAAAAATCTCACACTCCTCGGCGTTTCTTTTAGTCTTTGAATTGATCTATAGCGCGCCTTTGTGAAATTTTTTATTTAGATTCAACACTTTAATGTATTGAACCTATATATATATACAGAGAGAAAGAAAACTAATTACAAATTTTCTAAACTTAATGAAGGTATAAGTGTTGATGGTTGATGTACAATGCAATTGTCGTAAGCAAATGAGGGAATGGGGCTCATATACTTATTTTAATTAGAGTTCGGAGCCAAAAGGATAACTTTTTTCTTTCAAAAAACTAAAACAGCATATCAAAATAATTTTTAACCAAAAGGGCAAAATCGCTCTGTCAGGAGCGGTTTCCTTCTGACAAAATTGACTCTGTCGACTCCGAAAAAAGTTTCACCTAAAATCGCTGCGATTTTGTCATTTTTAAAAAAAAATTAAAATCGCTGCTCCCGCAACGTTTTTATCAAAAATATTTTTTTATCAAATGTTGAAATCATTTTATCAATTCTTTCTTAAAAAAAAAATTAATGTGGTTAATTACATTGGTTAAAAAAAATAAAAAATTGTGAGGTTATATATTAAAAATGACAAAGTAAAACCCAAACACCCAATCAATTCTTAGCAAAATACAAAATCACACTGCCGCATGAAACAATTAATATTAGTATATAATTAACCACTGACAATGTAATTAGAAAGTAGACCAATTTTTACTTGAACATTATTAGCATTATCAAAAAGGATTTTCCATATTAGAGCGCAGAACAATGTAATTAACGACAAGAACTTATTAATTTTTTTAGGAAATTTCAGTTTTTTTTTAAAAAATATAAACAATTCGATAAAAACGCTGCTGGATCAGCGATTGCAATTTTTTTAACAGAATAGCGTCGTTTGTCAGAAGGAAATCGCTCCGTTAGGAGCAATTTTACCCTTTTGATTAAAAATAAATTTGATATGCTGTTTTGATTTTTTGAAAGAAAAATTTTTGCCCTTTTGGCTTCGGATTCATTTTAATTAAATGAAAACCTTACTAATGGTAAAGATTACCTATAGATTAAAAAAAGAGGGGAAAATCAACCCCCCCCCCCCCCCCCAATCTGTTGACCTTCTTTTCTAGTTTTGAATATCAAATTGAAAATATTATTTAGGCACCTATTCTTTATGAGGTTTTTCGTTTTCGGCCTAACTCACACCCCAAAAGTTAGCTCAAAGGGAGGAGGATTGCCCAAGCCTTATAAGGAGTCCTCCCATCTCATTAACCACCGATTGTCATTCTTTAATACCTCACCTCACGCCCAATGCTTAGCATCTGGTGCGTGGACAATTTTGATTTTGGAGTCCCCAACATCGAGTGAGACGGGCCCTGCTCTGATACCATATTAAATTAGGTCTTAGGCCTAACTCACACACCAAAAGCTAGCTCAAAGGAAGGAGGATTGCCCAAGACTTATAAGGAGTCTACCCATCTCATTAACCACCGATGTGGGACTTTTGTCATTCTTTAACAAAGTTTTTAGTTTGTTTTTTCTTCAAATTTTAGGCACCTATTCTTTATGAGGTTTTTCGTTTTCCTCCTTTTTCCGGAATGAAGTTTTTAGTTTGTTTTTTCTTCAAATTTTTCAACCAACACAGAGACAATGGAGTGAGCACTAAGTTGATGATGAAGAATTTGATGTAATGTTTTAATGATTGATATATGATTTTAACCATGTTTTGTTACCTCTAAACAATGAGTTGGACTATATACATGAACTGTATTTTTTCTTCTTTATATTTTCTTCGATCTTTTAAATCTTATCCTGAAAAAAGTTTTGAATTTCAGACTATAATTATAATACCTTGCATAGATAGAAATTCATATTGTCTTCAATGTGATATTAAATCTATTTACGATTTTTATAAAAAAAAATATCTATTTCCAATTTAGATACATTTGACTTTCTTACTAAAGAACCTAAGTGAATAAGGAATTTATTTTTAATGTTGAACATTTTGTTTCTTGATTTTTTTTTTGGGCAAATGTACAAATACTAATATTCAGAGAACACCATCTACTAATTAACTTCCTTTTCTATTTTTTCTATCAAATTCAATATATAATTGAGTTTATTAGTTAGACGAGATTTTGTGCCGAGAACTTGAGGAATTCAGTCCTAACAAAACAGTCGGGTCAAATGGGAGTCAAAATGTAAGAGGTCGTTTTATAACTGGTTAAAGTTATGCAGATATTAACTTGCTTCATCATCTACCCAAAAGAAAACAAACTTGGTTTGCTTCATCCTCTAGATGCTTATTAATGGAAATGAATGCATCATAAAAAAAGCAGAAAAAGGATGGCGATTATAAACATAAGATGCAGGTGGATTAAATTTATTGGCCTAGCCCTTTATCTTCACCTTTTATAGTTGGGGGAGGGGGTGTTAGTAGAGGTTAACTCCTTACCATGGTTAATATTTAATAATACTTAAATTTTGATTTTTTTTTATTGGATTATCGGTTCTTAATCGATTTGAGGTAACTTCTTAATGAGTAGTAAATTAATAGATTCTCTTTATACCATTTGATATGAAAAGTCCTTGACTTAGGGTTTAGTTTGATATTTTATTTCTGGTTGTTTCAAGCTCTCAGTTATTCTACAATGTGCGATTGTTTACTTTTGAACAAGATACAATTTATCAATTCATATGCATTGTTCATTTGGTTTGTCACCTTGTTTCTAAATGATTTTTTTGTGTCAAATTTTAATGGTTAAACCAATAACCGAACCAATAATTAACAATTAATAATTGATAAACCGATAACCGAACCAATAACAATTAATAACTAATAAATCAATAATCAAACCAATAACAATCAATAACTGATAAATCGATAATCGAACCAATAAAAATCAATAATCTAATATGAATGGATGAAAAAGCTTGCAATGCCCATAAGATCATAGAAAATAAGAAGATTAATACCAGTAAATGTGGCCAAAGAATAAAGGCATGATAAAAGCTTTTTAGGAATCGCTTTACCTCAATGAGAGATTTTCTAGTGTGAATTTTAATTTAATTAGGCTCTAAATATGTGAGTATTGGACACCAGATGAGGAACCAAAAAAAAAAAACTACATACAAGCCTATCAATGACCAACATGGGTTGTGGTGCACTGTTGTGAGTGCTTCACCTTTAACCAGAGGTCTCGGGTTCGAGCCCTGGGTATGGAGAAAATCCTGTTGGGAGAGCCACCCTGAATGGGCCCTGCAGAGCGCGATTCGGATTTAATCGGAGCTCCAATGTGAGCTCCGGACACCGGGTGGAAACCAAAATAAAAAATGCCTATCAATGGAGATTTGTTACAATTTCATATGATGTAACAATAAAGTTGTTAGATAATTATCATATTAAATACTAATTATACCAAGATATTAACGAATGAACCTAGACATTAATATTATTTTTTGAGATATCCAAATCTTATTTTCCAATAAGCATCCACATATCGCAAATAAAACAAAATAAATAGAAAAAATATTAAGAAACTTTGGTGGGTTTCAAATATGTATACAATGTGTCGAATTTGGTGTGTCGTATACTATGAACTATACCTTGATAAAGTAAGATTAAACTTATAGAATAATTGGTGAAGTTTAGAACTTTTATGAACCCACAATTCTTCTGTAAGCATAGAATCTTATGTCACTTCCTGAGATTACCCTTAGACCCGACACGGTGCTTAGAGTCACAATTTACCCCAAGCTAACCTCATGGCGTGATAGGACACTAAGATTAACATAAATCAATAAAAATTTGAAATAAAAACACGGTAGCTAAATCTGAAATATATATATATATATATAACCCATAACACTGAGATAGACAAATATATGAAAGAAATAACATAAGCAGAATCTATATTGATATGACTGTCTAAAAGCCTTTACTAATATGAGTTGCTAGGACAAACCCCTTGCTAACTCCAACTGTCTGAAACTGAAAGTAATAACTGAAAAGAAAGATAAGGGTTGTCCTCAAAGTTATGAGGACTCATCAATACTGTTGCTTGTTGATCAGAGGTACCACTAACTGCAGGATGGATACTGAACATCAGAATCTGTATTATCAAACAATATAGACAAAAAGTATGTTGTTAGTACTTTTTTGTAACCCTATAGGTGTGAATTAAGGAAATGAGAACGTTACCTTTAATGTTCAAGATTATTACCATCATGTACGCCCATTGCTGCCTCCATCAACATAGAACGGCACAGCACTAGGTGTGGAGCGGCCGTCAGTATCATCATCAACAAGGAAATCGAAATTGTCAGTCTGCATAATCACATCAGTGACGTCATCCTTCTTCAGAATACGTCGATGGTTTTCCTGAGCGTTAAGCCAGGAACAAAGGGTGAGTTCTTGAATGAACATCTCACATGCCTTAGCAAGCAAAACAGGCGATTCAGCAGCGATCATTCGGACATCCTTGTCCGTTTTCATGATCTTCTTAATGCGGGTAGGTTGAAGTAGCAGGTTGTTCTTGAAATCGTTAATGTTCTCCATTTCTCTCTGCTGGTCTGTCCAGAACATCTTCACATATTCTTGCTTATTCTTCTCAGCGTTAAGCTGCGATAGCGTTGGGTAAGCAGCGGATTGAGCTGCATTCACTGCGGATTTCTCAGAGTTGTTTTCCATGGTGATTTTTTCTTTGTTTACAAGCTTAGAGAGAAATGGAAGATTGATACATATACACAACTGGGCGTTCTCTATATATAGAGAGAAAAATAAATCTAATTATAAATTTTCTTAATCATATTAAATGAATGAACCTAGAAATTTCTAAATCTACATTCAAGCCTATTAATGAAATTATTTGCTACAATTTATTCATGTGTAACAATAAAATTGTAAGAAAATCATCTTATTAAATACTAGTTAATTCTAGTCAATACGGTATTAAATACTACTAGTTAGTTCTAGTCAATAAGGTATTAAATACTAGTTAGTTCTAGTCAATAAGTTATTAATGACTGAACCTGAGCATTTTTAATAAAAATAATTCTTTTGTTGTTATCCTAATAATTTTTTCTACAATCCTCCATATATCACAAAAAGAACAATAATGAATAGGAAGAAATAAAAAGTTTGTAATAAATGGGCTTTCAGATATGTGTACAATGCGTCAAATTTGATGTCTTGTAGACTGTGAATCATACTTTGGTAAAATAAGATTAATTTTATAGAACAATTGGTGAAAATTACAATTTCTATGAACTAAGATTTTTTTTATAAAGTCAGAGTTTTATTATATCACATTATTATACTCTAAAAATCATTAATGTTATCGCAATATTTGTACCAACATGTCATATGCGTATCCTAAAATTCATGAGTGTTTTAAAATCTATAGGTTTAATCATCAAATGTATTATGCAGAGCAATACACGACCTATAAAAGATATGAATTGGATTAAACGTTTAACTAATTAACCTCACTAATTTGCGGTATAACATTATATTCAGACATCATAGGAGAGGATGACATAGTTTAATAATGCATATTAACTAATGATTTGTTATTATATATATATATGAACCTAGTTCATTCGATCACCATTAACATAAATTGGGTTATGTACTATCATTGTTAATCTTCCCAAATTGATAAAAATCTCACACTCTTCGACGTTTCTTTTTATCTTTGAATTGATCTATAGTGCGCCTTTTTGAATTTTTTTTTATTTAGGTTCAACACTTTAAGCAGTCTAATGTATATAGAAAATATTTCTTATTTTACCAATAATGACGACAAGTGTATAAAGTAAATTCATATTTCTTGTTTTCTTTGCGAGAACAATTAGGTTTACAAGTCAGATTTTGCATTACTATTACTTTGTTTATTTTACAAAAGAGAACACAATTAGTTTAATTGATTTGCCTTAGCAATTTTTTTCCGAGTCATTCTCAATTTCTCATGTACCTCATCTTGTCCACCAAGTTATTTTGCAACCAAACAAAGTCTATTTGGTTAAACATATATACGCATTAAAATTGTTTTATTGTGGTGTTGGTAAATGATAACATATACACTTTTTTCTAATACAACAAAGTAATTATTAAATTCACTCATAGCTTCGTTATTACCGTTGCCACTGCATTTATCACCATCGACTGCTCTTAGTTATTTTTCATGAAATTTTGGACAAGGAGCGATTTTTTCTGTATTAACATAGACAGAATTGGAAGTCAATAAATGTTGGTATACAGAGGAGAAAGAAAACTAATTACAAATTTGCTAAACTTAATGAAGGTACAAGTGATTTTTCTTCCTTATATTTTCTTCGATCTTTTAAATCTTATCTTGAGAAAAGTTTTAAATTTCAAACTATAATTATAATTCCTTGTATAGATAGAAATTTGATAATATTAACTTCAAACGTAATATTAAATCTTTTTTCTGATTTAGTTAATTTTGACTTTCTTACTAAAAGAGCGCAACTGAATATAAAAAATTATTTAATTTTTTGTTTATTTTGGCAAAGATGCAAACTCAAATATCAGTTGCATTGGAATAGTTTCTTCATAAACTGGATCGTTTAAGCAGAAAAAAATTCACCTGTTCCAATAAATAATTGTCTTGATGAATGGGAAAACCAAATGTAAGACCGACAATGAAAAAAATATATTTTTTCTTTTTCGATAAAGAGATAGATGAAGGGACGAATCAGTGCAACATGAAACTTTGCACCTTCTAATCTTGCTCACAGATAGAAGTGTATCGAATTGGTTGATAAAGGAAAAATAGTATACATGACCATTTGGAGGAATATTGTGCCCGAGTGTTTGATATCTTCTTAATGTGTGCTTCAATTTAAACAACATGAATATACAAAAAATATTAAGAAAATTTGGTGGGTTTTTCACCTATGCATATAATGTATTGAATCTCGGTATATCGTAGACTTTGAGCTATACCTTGATAAAGCAAGATCAAACTTATAGAATAATTGATGAAGTTTAGAACTTTTGTGAACCAAGAATTTTTTTGTAAGCTTAGGATCTTATTGTTGGGTTTTAAAGGCGTGAACAGGAAATGAAGGGTTGTGACTCTCCTGAAGAGTTGTGACTATGCCGAAGGGTTGTGAACTTTATGAAAGGTTGCGTCTTTTCTAAAGGTTTGTGACCGTTTGAAAGGTTATGCCTTTTCCAAAGTGTTGTGACATTTCTGAAAGGTTGTCTTCTTTCCAAAGGGTTGTGACCTTTACCCTTTGTTGGCTATAAATAGAGAGGTTTTCTCTCATTTTTCAAAATCGAATTCTTCCCTTCTTTTGCATACATTTCTTACAAAACAAAATCGATCGATCGTGTCTGTGTGTGATTCGTTGCTGTCATTTTGAGTTCGTTGAAATTATCGAAGTTTGAGGTACCGCTACTTCTTTAATGGTTAATCCGTTTTATCTTGGGAGGAATTAATCTGCAACCTCGGGTACTTGAGGGATTAAATTTCTTAAGGACACACAGTGGGTTCTGTGGACTCGGATAGTTCTTTGTGTTTTTCTTTTCATCTTTTATTATTTCTGGTTTGCTAATCTGAATACAAGAGATAACAAGCTTAAGAAATTTAATGATGGTATTTTCTGTGGTAAGGAAATTACTTCTATTTTCTGTGTTCTTTTTATTGGGGAAAGAAAAAGAAAAAAAAGAGAATTATTTTATCGTATGATAAAAGAGATTTGGGATGAATTAGTACTACTTTAATATGTTCGAGTATATTTTTTGTAGTAAGTTTTCCTTGGATGGGTAAGATTATTATTATTTTCTTCCCAAGTGCATTCAAGCATTGCACCCCTTCAGTTTTCTTTTCAATGAGAAAAGTTATTTTGTGCATAAAGGCTAAGATGTGCACTTTAATTATTTTTCCTATATTCTTGGTTTTATATAACTATGAGAAGAAGTAAATGAACAGATGTTGTCTCCTAACAATATTTGAACATGAGTTTAGTTTCTCGTTGAAATTCAATGTCTTCTGAGGAAAATTGGAATATGATAGAAACTGGAAAAGAAGGAAAAAA